AATTATCTTCCAAGGTTATATGCCAATAACATTACTCTTTTTTTATGGGTATTGTTTTGGGCCAAAGAACTAAAAAAAATTTTTTTTTTTTGGTAAAATCAATTTACCCCTTGTGGTTCAGGAGATAAAGCGCAAAACATCCAAACCACAAGGGGGTAAATTGGATTTTATCCTATTTTTTTTGTTTGGTTTAATAGTTAGAGGTGCCTAAACCAATTTACACGCACCTTGATGAATTTTTTTTGTCGGTCTGATAAAAAACAAGTTATTTAAGACAGAATTAGGTATTCATGAAGAATATTTCTCATAGCTTAGTCAAAGAATTGTTAAGATTCAAACTCAAAATATTTAAATTTATAACTCGTTTATATTATTAGTTGAACTACTTTGGAGTTAATTGAAAACATCTGGCTTATTCATTTAGGATTTTAGAGATTAGAGCGAAATTTTAACCAAGTGGGAGACTCCAACATTAAATCCCCTACTCCATCTTGACCATAACCGTCAACATAGGTTCATCATGTACTTTATTCTGTTAGTTGGTCAATAGTTTAGAGACCCTCACAGCATTTAAAACAAAAGGCAAATTTTATTTTTACACCCCTTATGGCTTCATATAACCCTATTTCAACCCCCTTGTTATTTTTAATTTTTTATGAACAGGTTTGTGAAAAGGGGAAGAAGATGAATGGAGGGGTATATTTGTCCTTTTGCACTTATGACTGACTTCGACAGAAATTTCACACCCGAACGATCGAATTAAACAGGCTAATACAATTTCTGTCGAATTGGGTACAAACCATAACCACACACTTTATCCAAAACCACGAGAACTATGGTTATAATTGAGCCATATGGGTGTAAAGTGCTATATCATCAAACTACAAGGGCGTAAAATGAAATTTTGCGTTAAAAGAAAAAAAAAGAATAACTCCTCCTTGCAGCAGAAGGATTTATTTTTGTAGCCTTGCATGTACATGAAAATATTTGGGAAGAGTTACAATATTTAGCTAACGTTCAGAACCATACTTTCGGAGTTCAATAGTTTCTAACATTTAGAACGATTCTTTCGGAGAAATGGCTCTTCCGACAATCTGATCAACCCAGATTCGAATCCTTTCCCATTGATGTACATCAAATTAAAAAAAAAAAAAAAAACTTTGGGCTTTTGTTACGGTGCCATCAAATTCTCAGAATGTGAAATACTGATAGATTTCAAGTTCTCCATATTGTCAGACATTGTAAAATTCCTGTAAAATCAATGGAGTTTAATATTAAGCTACAGATAAATAAATGTCTTATAGCCATTATGCAAATTCCAATAGCTAGACATATTATTAAGCACTAGCACAATGGTGAGAACACCTATTTTTTAAGTGGAAATGTGTCATAGGAAGAGAAATGTACATATGAACCAGAATGAAAAGATACTAGGAACTGCACAGGGTAGGCTATTTTCAGTGGTACAAGACGGCAGTGTGAATTCGACAATAGCATGATCCTTTCCATGTTTCGGCTAGATCTTTTCTATTACACAGCACTGGACCGGTAATCATTTGCCATTGTTGTCTATCTGAGAAAACCACAAGAATATGACAAGCAGAAAAATAGGCAAGCAGTCAAAATGATTTTTACAAGTATATGGTGCCCATAACAATTGGTTTACATCAATATGTACACTTTATACCAATGAAAAATATGAATCATTATTTTTATTTCTTTGGGAAATTCGATAGATATGAATTATAAATACCTGAATGAGAACTTTGACTCCAACCCAACCAACTTTCATGGGAGCGCAAACCAAAAAACCAAAAGAAAAAACACGCAGAGAAGTAAGGGAATAGATATTTGACTCCATTTCAAAGTTGAGAGGGAAGCTATTAAGTACCTCAGTGGTATGTTTACAAAAACAAATAATTCCTAGCAAGAGCCGCATCATCTATTGACCCGGAGAATGTTGTTATGTATGGTACCCCTGGTAGTTGACTCCCTCTGAGGATCAACCCTCCAATGGCCATCCACAATAAATTTTATCTGAAATCATAGAAGGATGTCAAGATCAGTAATAAATTTTATAAACGGCTTCTAAGTTGAAAAGCTCCTAATAATGATCAGAAATGACACGATTTTGACTTATTATATACTAGAGTGTTGCAAAACCATCTTTACAATGGCAGCCTAAAATTTAACCATAAAAACACAGGCAATTATTTATCTTATCTATTATGCATACTGTCAAACATGTCCCCCTCCATTTTTACTTTTCGCTTGCTTAAAACTTAAGAGAGACCCTTGCTGACAACAGATCATTCAGAGTAGTGACAACAGTTACTTCTGTAGTTGTAATAAAGCTAGAGATGATTTTCTATTGTAACTAAAATTTTGGTACGAGAAAATTATTCATCCAATTGACAATGTCAAACATTAAAAAAAAAGGGAAAAATTGTGGTGTTAAAAACCAGCTTTAATAAATGACCATTGGTAGCCGAAGTCAGATATCCTCCATAAGTAAAATTTTCTTTTTCATAATTCAAAAAGAACATGAAAACTTGTGTTGACATATAATGATGCAAAACATTACATAAAGAAAATGAGCAAAGAAGAGACGTAATTAGAGACTTTCAAGCCTAATCATTTGCAGTGATCAGTCATGGATATGTAATTTTGTGTGCACTTAAGACTGTCTAATCTAGTCTTGGTTGAGTCAAGTCAGACCTTATGTTTAGTTCTGGTTGGGTGTTGATGTCCATCATGATCATCATGCTGATAAGAGACATAAAATTGTTTCAATTGATGAAAATTCTAAGCTTGTTGAGGGTGATTCTATAGTTGTTATTTATGATCACCAAGAGCATGACCTACAAATTCTTGAGAAAACTGCCTATTTGAACCACTATACCTTTTTGTATTACGCGTAGGCTTATTACTTAACCCATATTCACTTACTTACCTGCGATCAGATGTGAGTGCCATCCACCTTTTTCATCTACTTTGCATTCAGGTGTTCCTACAGGTACAGTCACCACACCAACACTAGAAGAACCTGTTCGGTTCCTGCTTAAGCAATAAAGCTTGGACCAACTTGGGGATGTTCTTGAGGTTCGGACTACTTCATCTTTTATAGGAAATTTTGGAGTAGCATCATTGCTGTAAACTCTCCTTTCTGAGAGTTCTTTTAGCCCAGGAGAATTGAAGGGGATCACGAGAAATTGAATAAGGGCTTAGATTTTAGGCTTAATTTTTACTTTTGATCTTTTAATTTCTTTGGTTTGATTATATGTACGACCTTATTAACGAAATTATCATAAGTAGTAGGAAAATTTTGGCCAATTAATCTCTCTCCATGATCTTCTTTTTCCCCTTCTCTCCATCATTCAAGTGTCTCTATTGTATTGTATTCGTTTCCATATCGTTCCGTTTCTAGATAACCTAGATTTCTACACATATAAGCTAGGAAACACGGATACTTCCACAGGGGCGTTGTAGCAGTGCCGGACACATGTCCGACATGGACACGATCAAGATACGGCTGGACACATGACACGGTTAGAAGTGTTTTGAATAGTGAACTTAGTCGGACACCGTCAGGACACGGCTAAGACATGGTCAGATCTAGGACACAACCAAAATTTTTTTTATTAAAACAACTTTTAACTATTAAAAGGAGTGTGACTTTTACTTTTTTTAATATATTTTTTATTATCTAACTTATATACTATGAATATTAATAGATGTTATGACGTTTGATGAAAATGGTAGATATTTAATTTGATCTATTTTAATTTTAATCAAAAAAATAATATTTGTTAGGTCTTAGTATTAATATTGTTATAATGTATGTTTTATTTTTAATATATTATAACTCTATTATTATTTAAAAAATATATTATATTATTTAATAACCGTATCTTTGTTGTACCCGGATCCTATATTTTTTTAACTTTATCGTATTTCAGTGTTCGTATCCATGCTTCCTAGCATACAAGTCAAAGAGAATTTACTATTAGTAGTAATTAGCAGATTTTCTCACCTCATAAATCCCAGGATATAGCCACAACACAGTCCTCCAAAGTCTAGATTTCCTCGCAAATCATGTCATGAGAGTGAGATTGCGAACTCAAACCACTTTAGAACAAAAAGGGATGAGAAAATTAAAATTAATTATAGCGGAAAAAAGGCAATACAAACACACACATCATTGATAACAGACATTAGGTGATAGCATTAGTTAAAGGAAACATTGCAAACTGGAATAGGACAAAATGTGCAACAACTTCACATAATTTGTGCACTGAAACCATCTTTCATAACAGCTCATTAAGCTGTGCTTGTCGATGATAACCAAATTCAAGGAGCCAACCCCAAATACTTAAGATGACTTTTTTTGTTACACCCTTTTAAATAACAGATATGGTTAGACTTGTTCCGATATAATCAACCAAGAATAGAAATAACGATCATAGATGACAGTCTTCCGGGGCAAATCCACAGTAGGGGCAGTGAAATTTTGAAAATGTTTGGGGTATAGGTATAATTTTCAAAAGCTCTAGAATTGTTTGAAAGTTGCCCCCAGTTAAATTTTTTGGAAAGACTACGGAGAGGTTTTATATTTTTCGTTATAAATGGGGTCTTTAATAGATTTAGAGCCTATACTCTAAGGAGAACATCCGATTTTGATAGCTTTTATAATTTTTTTGATTTTTTGGGCGGTAGTTGGTGTTTTAGGTAGCTTGTCTATCTAATTTTTTGTCTAATAATAGACAATTGAACTTAGATTTTTTTAATTTGCACTGAGCAACTATGATTCCAATATGAAATTTATTGATCTTTTTTAAAAATTATTTGTAATTGTAACATCTGTTGAAAATTGGAGGTTGAGAATGACATAAAGGAATTCCATCTGCTTGGATTGAATGTTTGTTTAAATTCTTTGGTGATTGGGGCTTGTATTTGCATGTTAAAAATTCTTTGCTTTTTCAAATTCAATTGATAATGAAAAGATCATTCAATGCTTTTAAAATATGAAAACTCGTGGTGAAAAATCATGAACATTTATTAGATGTTTGATAATTTGAATTTTTTCATGTATAGATATATGAACGCTAATTTTTATTTTATTTTTCAGTAAGGTCTTATCTACAACTTTATAGTAAGCCTTTTTTGTTAATTCTTTTTGTATATGGCTCGTATATACGGTTAGTGTCTTTAATTGACGTTCTTTTAGTGTAATTATATTTTAGTGAACATTTGGAGTTTGAATATTTATATGGTTTACGCTGCCCCCACTACAAAACTTGTCTGGCTCCGCCCCTGACAGTCTTATAATATGTCTTTTATCAAATAACTATATTTTTTACATTCCTTTTTTTCTCTAGAATCTTTCATCTTATATATCTAGAAATCCTATGACGAGTTTTTCTCTGCATTTGTAAAACCCATTTGACTAGCTTGTTAACCTTCTTGGCATAAGTTCAAATGATTCTCTAAGCATGTCTAGAATAAGATCAATATAAGGTCAAACAAGTGAATTCCTGGCCAATGTAGGGTTACATCAATGCTTAATCTTAAGCCCTTAGGCCTTAACTTTTAAGTTAGTTATGAGAAATTAACTAAACTTATTAACAGTTGAACTGATGTATACTATTTTGATTTGATAAGTAGAAATAAGAGTAGAGAGGAGGAAACAGATAGCTAATCGTCGAAAGCCTGCATGACAATGGGTTCGATAAAAAGGATTATGAACACCTGGACCCCACAGGTTCTATGATACTTGCTGCCAGATGTGGATCCATTTTAATCCGATGATGCCAGCCATTGAAACTACCTGCCACCTCCACAGTTTCACCATCCCCCCAGTATTCGATTTCAACCTAGTAGGAAAAAAAGGGGAACTTCTGTTTCATTCCATAACAGTTATTAATGGCATAAGAAAGACACTAATCTCAATGTTCATGCATATATGTGAGGAAAAGCTAAAAAAATACAATATACTATAGGACAAAATGAACTGCTGGCTTTACACCCCACCCCACCCCCCCCAAAAAAAAAAAAAAAAACGAAACCCCCTGAAAATAAATGGATGCCCCTTTGTCCTCAATACGATTGACTGATTGAGTAGGGATACTTAGCTGATGTGAGTCACCTCGCCCACAATCTAATCATCACACATAAATACCAATCATAGGTCCCCAAGATTGCAATCACTTCACCTTTTAACATCCAGATTCAGTAATACTTCCACGAGAGCTGCAGTCAATTGCTGCCTTGGAAAGATTGGTGGCCACATGTGGCAAGCCTTGAAGATTTAAATGTTGAAAATCACTGATACTATTTGGTTAAAAACTCGTGGTTTCCTATGCAGAACTCTTCCACACGCCATTTAGGATTTCACCACTCAGAAGTCAAACACAACCCTACATTTCCATTCCAGTCTCATAAAGTACTTGTTTCTCACAGCTTTTTAGCAGCCCACATCTAGTAAAAACAGATTACGCATTAAACTGGTTGGAGGCTGCTTATTGGAACAGATTTTGTCGATCAGATCCCAAGTGCTAGTATGAAATAACCAATATAGAATTGCTACAACAGGATCAATTCTATAGTGATAATAATCTAAGTCATTGCTTTAACTACATTGGCTGAATGTGAACATGAAAAAATACACATAGGAGAGCAGTAGTACCTCCTCCAGCCCAGAAAGGCCTTCTTCAGCAATGTGTAATTCTGCATTTTTTTCCGAAATTAGTTTCTGCGCTTTGCTTATCTCTGTTTCTGCTTTTGTTTGCAAAACAGACAAGGCAAGCTGAATACAATAATAAAACTAAAATCAAACAAGTACTTTAAAAGCAATCTTTCAGACAAAAGATAAATTATCACTCATTATGAAATAGGGTCATTAAAGTTTGTTACCCACTACCATCCACCAATCTATGGTGTTGGGAGGTATAAACTCAATGCAAACCTAATATATAGCAATGCTGCCTCTTTAATATAGAAAGAACAAATCAGACAGCACCATGAAGCTCACAATCAATTGTCAATTCTTTTAATATATAGCATGTTAATAAAATCGTTCTCTAACTGAAAGCATGCATGCTTAGAGTACAAAGAACAATGCCAGAAGAAGAGTGGAATGTGTTCCATATTTTCTTGGAAACAGACTTAACTGCTGCAATACATTGCAATGTGCAACGCCAAAAACAAAGAAAAAGCAATCAAGGTTGTGTCCATTTATATTAAGATTTATCCGGGGTGACATTCTATACTAGACTAGATAAATTACCTTTTCTTTTTCAATCTCTTGCTTCAACCGAGACAACTCCAACTCCTTCTGATGCTGAGCATACAAGAATAATATTACAATGGCAAAGAATTTATGCTTACGAACTGAGATATTCAAGACAAATAGAGCTATATCATCACACAAAAAGTAGTACCATCATGAACTTAAGACGATAAATTTCAGCTTGATTTTCCACTTCTCTATTCTGTATTACAAAAGCACGAAAGGCAAGCAAATTAGATGCCAAATTAAGCAATGGACTGACATTTAAAACTTGAAATACATTATATAATAGTGACCTCAGCATCCAGATCGTCATTGTGATCAGCAATTATTAGCTCTTCAGTCCAATCACAATTGTTCCTACAAACAATTGCAATCATAAAATGCCCTCCAATGACTGTAAATGGAAATTCATACCCAAGCTGCACTCTCATGTATGACTAATATACCTTTGACAGCAACACACCAAAAGAGGAATCAAAAGGAAAAAGAAAAAATAACAAAAAATCCATAAAAAATTCCAACATACAAGAATCCAGATTTCAAGGGAAACGAAAAAAAAGAAAAAAATCCATAAACTTTTCCGGTGCAAGGGTCCAGATTATAATTCTATTCCAGCATCACATGAAGGCCAAAAAGAGGATTAGATAATTTTGATAAGAGAGAGAAATTCCAAGGTGTGAAAGCATCTATATAAATATTGTGTGCACACGCATATGTAAGCATAGAGACTTCTTAGGCCACCACCATGCAGCAAAAATCATGTACAAGCACTGGTAAATTGAAATTTAATTTTTGGAAAGTTGGACCTAGGCAATCATAAATAAAGAATTCCTCCTTATTGCAAGTTTGTAACAGCAAATAAAATGTGATAGATGATGACCCTCAATAATTTACATTCAAACATTACAAAATTCAGTTAGCGCATTTTTTCAGAAACAACCACAAGAAAAGGTATTGCTAAGAACCATCAAAGGTGGAGCAAAAAAGGCCTATAAAAGAAAGCCACAGCTGCAGATTTGACTGTATAAATATATGTAGAAAGTACAAACCTTGGAGTATGATTTTCAGACACTGGATGGGCAACCTGCTGGGTTGACAATGTACTGGTTCCATCCAATATTTTAGCAGCATCAGTTCTAACAAGCACCAGATCACTGCGCTTTTCACTGTTGGAACTTGATACTTCTTCTGTGGCATTTTGTGACTCAATAAATATGTTGACATTTTCATTTAACGTGTTCATTTAACGTGACATTTGCACAACTCTTGGAAGTGATGCTTTCAATGTGGCAATTATAGAAGCTTAACAACATTCAGCACTTCAACACTAGTAAAACTAGCACAAATATCTTGTTTGCTCACAGCTTACCCTCAATTGTATCCAATTCTCCAATTTGGATAAATTTGGCTACCTTTTCCTGCAAAGATGAATTAGCTGAAGACTCTGTGGAAATGGAACTTTGGTCATCAGAAATGAGATCCCTATCAATATTCATGGTACTTATATTGTCTTTCATGCTGAGATCTTCTCTTGACCAGGAAAACACTTCACCAAAATCTTTCACTGTCTCATCCTGACCTTTTAGAAGCAACAATGGTATCAATTAAACATATATAAGAAATGTAATTATTTAAAAAAGTAATTTGTTGCCCTGATAAACCAATATTGAGAAACAGTAGTTGACCTGCTAATTCATCCAAGCTAGCACTAACTGTGTCCTTTTTTTCCACCAAGCCTTCTTCCGCATCAGACCCATTGACATTTGTCTCTGTTGAGGTTGCAAGAAGTTCTCTAATAAGTTTATATCCTCTCCGTCGGACAATATTTGCAAGGTCTTGCCTATAGAGTCAACCAGAAATAAATATCAAGCACGCAAGTTGAACTTCAGAAGTATATATTTACTTAAGAAATACAAAGTACTTTTGTAAACAACAAAAATATTTTTTGTCACTACAGATATAAGTGTATGTGTGTGTATGTACTATGTCGTGTAACATATTAACCAATAAAAACATTTGCTACTGGAGTTCCTCCCTATTAAAGGTGAATGAACTAATATTTAACCTAAGAAACCTCATAAGGGGCATTGCCTGGTGCACCATTTAATGTTGGTAAACAAAAAGACCCTCAATAGCCAACACAATTGCAATTCGCAAATCAGTCATAACATTGTTCCAATGTTCCACATTCATGTTGTCATCTTTTGAGAAGTGAAGAAATTACCACATTTAGAATGTTAATATACAATTTCAAACCCAATCACAGACCAAAAACATTCATCGCATGACAAAAATTGTTATTTCGACTCCTTTAATGAATTCAAATCAACACTAAGTACAAATCACAATGTTGACTTTTGACAGGACGTTGTGCAGCTTGACAATAATAATCCAACACGTGGCTGGAGACAGCTGCTGAGGTGCGTGTAAATTAGATGACAGGTCATGCTGAGTGAGTAAAACACTCGGGGCCGAGCACTATTCCTGCTGCCAAGCATTAAATACGACAAGACGGGTCATTAATGGGGTTCATAACAGAATGACTGGACTGTCTAATCCTCGAAAAACGTGGAAGACAATCATCATTTCCTTGCATTAATGGCAGCTAGACCGAGGAGGAGCCTCGGGAGCTCCCGAGGGGACCTAGCATCTATTCATTATGGCTTGGCCGTAAGGTCTTATTATTTTCCTAGAGCACTTGATAGTTGGAGAGGGCGCCTTTAATGCTCGGTATGTTCCCAAGAGCAAGTCCAGGCATCCGAGTGCTCAGCATTAACGAGAAGTGATGGGGCAGCACTCATTATCTATGAAGTACGGACACTTGTGACGTATCCGTGTTGGACACCGACACTCTTCGGATACTCTCGGACACGCGTCCGATACTCTTTTATCTGTGTCCATAATTAAATAATAAATTTTTAATTTTGAACACGTGTCGGACACTTTTTTGGTGACGTGTCCGACACTTCTTTAGAACGTGTCTACTATTAAACAATAGACATGTATTGAAATGTAATTAACAAAATTTAAACCTTTTAAAATATATAATTACTAATACTAGACATGTTAAAATTGTACTTCAAATATAATAAAAGATGCATAAAAGTTTTAAAAAAGATGAATTAAGAAAATGAGAGCAAATATTTAAATTATATATTAGGTACACATTGCCTACAAAAAAAATTGATGATTACTGACTATTATGAGGATGCTTTAGTCTAAAAATTCACAAGAGATGACTAGATATTAGATTTACTTATTATAAAATACTTAATCTTTTATGAATTGTATATCATTATCACTATATTTGTAATAAATTATATAATGTTATATATAAAATATAATTTTTTTTGTAACGTGTCCTCAATGTGTCAGTGTCCTACTTTTTTGAGAAATATCGTGTCGACGTGTCCGTGTCTGTGTCCGTGTCGTGTCGTATCTTATCTGTGTCTCGTGTCCGTGTCCTTGTTCTTAGCTCATTATACTAGATGGTGACAAGCTACTAAATAATAGGATGGGACTTCGAGTAAGGGAGGCATCATCGCATGTTGAGGTATAAATACCCCTATGAAAGTGAGACTCGGGTATGCAATCTGAATTCACGACATCCAACACTTCCTTCCACTTGAGCATCAATTTTATTAACCATCGGAGGGGATTAGTTGATTGTACATCCAACCCCTTTCCTGATTTTGTTGAGTGTTTTTAGGTTCACCATTCGAGTTTGTGTGAAAGATCACTATCTCAACTCATTGCAAGAAATCGACCGTTTAACTTTTAAAATATTCAAACCAAAATTCCCAAAGTCAAACAAAATAAGTGATCACCTCTAAATGAAAAAAAAAAAAAAAAAACCTCTAAATGATGTGGAAATGTTAAGGAAATCCATGAACAAATAGAATGGAGAGACTATTGCTATAGAAACCAACAGCATCATATCAGAACTTCACTCAAACTCTCTAAAGATATAAATTCCAACATTTTCAATTTTGATTCACTTTCTTCATCATGGGTAAGTTGTAATTCGTTATGTCTCCGTAAGTCATTATATGTGTTTTCTTACTATCTCGACGGTTAATTTCTTTTATCTATGAATTATAAAGCATATAAGAATCGTAAACAGATAGAAAATAAAGCCAAAACCTTCCATATTGTGAAAACTCCTTCATTGAGGGGACATGATCCTCCGGTAGACCCACCGCCGATAAAAATTCTCGGATATCCTTGCAGAGATCCGCATTGCTCTTGACCTTCCTGCCGGCGCTATAAAAAACCCACAAAATTTCAACTTTTAGTGAGAATAAAACACATCCACAAGCACTTTCCGAAAAAGAAAAACACCTACAAGCAAAATCGTCAAAAAAAAAACAAAAAACATATGGGAATTGAAGAAAACCTGGGTTTCTTGATTGAAGAACCACAAATTATGTGATGGTGGTGGTGGTGGTGGCGGTGGTGGTCTAAGTTGAGAGAGGGGAGAGGGAGAGAGAAGAGTTTATGGGAAGAGAGAGAACAGAAGGTCGAGAAGTGAGAGAATGTTGCCATGGGATTGCAGTACTCGTAAGAGATCTTGATATAGTTTTTGCAGCATCGAGAGATTCTGGGTTGAAACAAGTGCATCCCAGTGAAGGATTCTCACTGTACAGCTTGAGCGTGTGTCGCTAAAGACACAGTCCTTTCTGAACCAACGGGAGTGTATCTGGAACACGATGATAAATTTTCTTTTTTTCTTTTCCAATGGTCCGAGTGTCAGCCAACATATACTCACATCGATTAACACCATTTCCGATCAGTTAAAAATTAGGTTAATTGCACTAAGAGATATATAAGATTTGTCTTATTTTAATCTTTAATGTTTCAGTTGTATCATTTTTATCCTTAAAGTATTAAATATTTTTTCATATAGTTCTTTAAACAAATAACGTTCAGATTGCTAACGATTTTTTATCATAAACTTATCACGTAATAGCTAAATATGGACAAAAAATAATTTTGATAACTTTTAAACAAAATTTGGGTAGCTCTCGATAAAAATATGTGTAATATGGATAGTTTTTGACCAAAATTTTGGATAGCTCATGATTAAAATTGTGTAATTTAGGCAGTTATTTAACCAAAATTTGTGTAAAAATTTGGTCAAGAATTATCAAAGTTATTTTTTTATTTATATTTAAGTATCACATAACAAGTTTATGATAAAAAAAAAAATCATTAGTAATTTAGACATTATCTACTTGAGGAATGATATAAAAACATATTCAATACTTCAAGGTTTAAAATGATGTATTTTTTTTTTTGAAGACGAAAATGAGACACTCTATATTTTAGAGACCTCCGATGCAATTAACCCTAAAAACTATATTATCACTATAGAATTGATGAGGAATAAATTTTTTTGCCAAACTTTCAAAGTGATGAATAGGTAGCATATTTTCAAAAGGGGTGAGAGTTTAATCTAAATTTCAACTGGATCCAAATTTATGAATTAATTTTATTGGCTAATTATCTAAATTTTAATTCGAATTCATTATCATAGATGGGATGTTTATTTATTAATTCGAATATAAACTATAAAAATAAAATTTCTTGAATAAATAATTTGAAATTAGATGTATAATCCGATTCGAATTCGATTTGCTGACATATCTATCTATACTTTTTAATAAATATTGAGTAAGCATATGATCACTCATAAAATCACTATGTTTATTTTACCAATTGGATTATACTATGACAAGTGAATTTAGGATCTTAAATTAATAACTGATAAAATCATGTCATTTGTTTTGATTTAGGATACCTCATAAATTTGAATGTATTTTGTTTAGTTCCTGTTAGTGACTCATGGTCATGATTTAATTGATATTTGTGGTTTGGGGGTGATTACAGTTATTTAAGGTCTATTCTGGAAAATAAAAGAAATGTAATCTGTTTTGTAGAGGTTTTCAATGATCATAAATTTAAAATAAAAATATTGTGCATACTTATGTTCACTTATTGTTAATTTTCCCAAAAATAAATGTGGCATCGAAAAAGCCAAAGAAAAAAAAAGGAGACCACATGTCCACATTTCAGCATTTTTTAGTCTTTAGGTCCAATCTGAAAAGTTCATAAAAGTAATTGTTAGAGTTTTTTGATTAAAAGAATATTCTCACATCGATTAAATATCTAAAAAAAGTATTTTTGTATATATATATATGTGTGTGTGTGTGTGTGTGTGTTATATCTAGCCTATGAGTTAAACTGAGATCTTCGGACTCTTACGTGCAGAGAAATGGGATAAGTAGAGGGGATACGAATTTCTAAAATCTACAACACACATTGACACTGGCTACCCTAGTCTACCACCCAGGTAGCGGGTACCCCTGGCCAGTTTGTAATATTTTATTTAATTATTTTTTGTCATAACTCCTATACTAAAAATTTAGTTGCTGAATATCAAAAGTCCTAACGGGTAGTTTTTCAACAGTTTACGAGACACACTAGCTACCCTAACCCGCCACCCGAGTAACGGGTCTCCTTGGTCACTTTTTAATATTTTATTTAATTATTTTTTGTCATAACTCCTATATAAAAATTCAGTTACTGAATATCAAAAGTCCTAATAGCTAGTTTTTCAACAATCTTCGAGACACACTAGGTACCCTAGTCCGCCACCAGGGTAGCGAGTGCCCCGGCCACTTTTTAATATTTTGTTTAATTATTTTTCATCATAACTCCTATATTAAAAATTCAGTTGTTGAATATCAAAAGTCCTAACGATTAGTTTTTCAACAACTATTTTTTTTTACATATTATCTGATTAAATATGGGAGTAATTACGAAATATCAAACACATATATTTTGTATATATATATTTATATATTTCAGTATAGATGGCATACAATCAGATATCTACTACAATCTCTCTACTATATAGGTTTCTAGGCAATATTCAAAGATGTCGCGTGAAGCTTCTGCTTCATTCGATTGTGCAGATCCAAGTGAAGCAACAATCGATAAGTTGGGCTGTTATGTCCTAAGGATGACACATTGTTACCTTATGCGTTGTGATTCTTTCATAAAGGGGCGTGAATCGTCTTAAAAGAGCGACATAATCTGCGCCCCACCCTTCTATTCACTTTATTTTTTGCATCCCATTTTTCCTACAATTTAAGATGATTCATACTCGATGAAGAATTCTGCGATAGTCACTTCTATTGTTTCATCTACTAGATCAAACGATCTTAACAAACCATTTCAATTCAATGAACAGTTCTTCAAAAGATGGACAAAAAAACGTTCTATCCTATCTCAAATCGATGAAGTTTGCACGGATTCTCATTGCAAAAAATCCAAAGAAAGTGAACAAGAAAAGTATGAGTGCAGAAGATCTAGCAGAGCATGAAAAAAATTTAGCAATATGAAATATTGACGAAGATAATTGTCGCAATTATTTGCCCAATTGTCTTTCTAATGAGCTATATGATTATTATTACAATTTTTATTCATTTGCCAAAAAAGATATGAAAAACTTTGGAGGCGAAGTACGACATAGCAGAAACAGGGACGAAAAAATATGCTTGTAACTGCTATTTTAAATTTCAAATGGTGGAAAACAAATATGTAATTGCTCAAACACATGAGTTACAGATGATTGTTCATGAAATTGTGTTAGAAGAAATTAAGGTGGATGAACAGATTCAAGTTGCAACAATTATCGACAAACTACCAGTTTCGTGAAAGGAGTACCAAAAGGTCTTCGTCACAAGCAATTAGAATTAAGCATGGTGACTTTGATGACTCGGCTTCGAATTGAAGAAGAGGCCAGAAAACAAGACAAGACCAACGAAACTAACATAAATCTCAATAGTAATAGAAAAAAACAATAAAGTACATTTTTATCTCATCCAATGATAATGCCTCTAAGGGTGAAATAATAGAATCAGTGCCTAGTTGAAACTAATTTCAAAAAAAATGGAATACTAATTTAATAAGGCTTCAAATAAAAACTAATTTCAAAAAAAATGGAACCAAATACCAAACCAAAGACCCCCTTCTAAACAAGTACCATATAATAAAAATAATCAGTCAAATAATGATGTTTGTTTTGTATGTTAAAAATCTGGGCATTTTTGTCAAAGATTGTCGTTTAAAAAACGTAGTTATGCTCCTCAAACTAATGTGACCGAGAAACCACTTGTGGCCATGATTACTGAGGTTAATTTTATTGAAAATAATGAAGGGTGGTTGGTAGATTCTAGAGCTTCCAAACATATATGTCATGATAAATCTTGGTTCAAGTCTTTTTCTCCCGATGAAAATGAAAAAGGTGTTCCTTGGTGATTCATAGTGTGAATGTTACCAAGTTTTGACTCTAAGAAATGTTCTTCACACTCCTGAAATCAGAAAAAATTTGGTTTCTGGTTATCTTTTAAATAAAGTTGGTTTCAAACAAACCATAGAATCTGATCATTTTGTTTTGACCAAGAATGAGTCATTTGTTGGTAAAGGTAGGGATGCAACTTGGACGGGCTAACCCAATTTTAACCCGAGCCCAACCCAAAAAAATTAGGGCTTGAGTTAGGGTTTTTAACACTTAGATTGACCCTGGGTCAAAAAATCCCAACCCGAATTCAATTTGGACGGGCCTAGAATTGAACCCTAGGGTTCCAGGGTTCAACCTGAATATTCATAACTATATAAATATATTTTTAAGTCTAGGGTTAATCTGTTCTGAACTCTTCATTATACGCCTCTCTCACTCACTATTTAAGTAGTGAACTCTATGTTTGTACAAGGATTATGTTTGTGTTTATTTGTGTTCTGTATGGTTGTGGCTGCGTTATCTCAAATATTGAGTTTTTAATATTATGATTTTTATGTTAAAACCTTGATTGAAGTTGTTGGCTGTTAATTTAGATAAATATTATATAATATATGTATCAGGTTTAGAACAAGTCTATTTTGGTCTCAACCCGAATTGAACCCGTAAAGTAACCTGAAATCATTAACCCGAATTCAACCCGAGCCTGCCCAAATTAAACTCGGGCAATGCTTAGGTTGAGTCCTTCAACCCGGGGTAGGGTTAGGGTTAGGGTTAGGTTACGGTTATGGTTGAAGATTATATACCTAGGGTTGGGCTAGGATTGATTGTCCAACTTGCCCGAGTTGCACCCCTTGGTAAAGGTTATATTCGTGATGGTATGTTCAAGCTGAATGTTAAAATGAATATAATTACTTCTTCCGTTTACATTATTTCTTGTGTGAATATGTGTCATGCT